GCCTCGTTGCTGTGTCTTGTGAGGGAGCAGCCTCGTTCCCTACTTGGCTACGCTCTGATGGAGGTGGAAAGGCCGTGGCTAGGGAGCGGTGGTGTCACCCCGCCTGTCTCTTTGGGGCTTAGGCAGGAGCTGCAGGAGGGAACGTGGACATCGGTGGAGCCATCGATAGAGTTTAGTGGCTCATCCAGCCGACGTGCCTATGGCCTGTCTGTTTCACAGCCAGCGGCACATGTCCGCCGCCTTTGACTGCCCTAGCCCGATGGATCGGGTACCCGCCTTGCAGCTGGGTGAACTGGAGGGGGCCTTTCAGTGCGAGATCGAGCTGAACCTGCGACCTTCAGGATTGCAGTTGGGCACTTTAACTCCTCGGCGCCAGAGGGACAGGGAGCTGCCTGGAATTCGGGACACTCTGCAGGGCTGTAATTCCACTGCTGGAAAAGAAACGAACGAGGTGCTTTGTGGAACAGCTGGGAGAACCCGCGATGGGAGGGCAGGGGAGCTGGGTGCACCCAACAGAACAAGTGGAGTGTGCTGAGTTGATGGCTTCTCTTTATAGAGCATTTCTACTTCCTACCCCTGCATCCCATCGCACCAGAGGGTGCTCCAGGCCTGCGCTGAGCCGGGCAAGCAGATTGCTGCATAAACTGGTCCCTGAGCCCTCGACCTCTTGGGGCTCCCTGGGAAGTGTCTGCTGCGCTGTGACGCTCAGGGCCTGACCCATGCGGGTGCCGGTGACGTGCGGCTGGTGTCAGAGCCTTGACGCGCCAGCCCTGAATGTTCTGGTTTCTAGTGGTGATTTATGGACGGCCGGTGAGCGGCGGGTAGTGGCTTCCAAACCCTCTGCGCCTTTCTGCCACGTCTGTGTCTGAGTCTGCTCCCTCCCCTTGTCCCTGGAGCGCTCAGCTGGAGGCGCCCCAGGGCTGAGGTGTGGGGGGATGTTTGCAATGAGATCTGTGCTGCCTCCATTGCATGGAGAGGTCTCCTGCCTGGAGCAAGGAGGAGAGAATCCCAGACACCCGCTGCTCCTGGAATAGTGCGTTCTGCGCTGGCCCCTAGAAAGCCAGCTGTGGGGAATTTGGAGAAGAGCTACAGAAATGCTCAGGGCCTGGAGAGCCAGAGCTGGATGGCCAGATTGAAAGTGCCCCGTGTGTCTAGCTCGGGCAGGCAGCCAGCAAGGGGTGAAGGAGGGAGGGAGTGTGGGGAGGAGCAGGGTGGAGTCTGGAGAAAGGGGATGGAATTCAGGCAGGTGAGATGCATTGAGCTGGGGGGTCCTTTCCCTGTGGGAAGGGCTGGGAGCCCCATCGCCGCCCGGCAGTGAGCTGGCTCAGGCTCCAGTGCCCCTCCCCACCCAGGGGAAGGGCTGGGAGTCCCGTCGCTTGGGGCGCCTCAGGCTAGAGGGGCTAAGAGTCTGGAAGGCATCGTCTAGGGAGCGATCCCTGAGCAGGGGATGTCAGCCTGCTGCCCTGCTGGAGCCTTCCTGCTTGTGCTCACACCCACTCCCTGCTCCCACCTTTCCCCAATCTTCTGGGCAGGGCTCGGAGCATCCTCCAGTATTATGGATGCCCGACATTTCCCATGAGAAGACCCAGTTTTCAGTTGCTTATAACTTTCCCAGTCTTTAATTGGTTGGGATAAAGCTTTTCAAGCCAGGTGTCTGCTTCAGGCTGATTATTATTAGTGTTTTATTTTGAAAATTTCAGCTAAAATGGGTCAGCCGTTTTCGAGAATGAGCCTGGGGAAAACGCAGTTTGCCCATGTTAAAATCCTGGCGATCGTGCCTTTGAGAAGCTCTGGCACCTCCATGCTTTGGAGCAGGGACTCGAAATTTGGCATGGGCCTGGCCCTTGTGTCAGGGTGGTGCCGTTTGCCATCCCCAGGTAAATCCGTCCACATTTGGCCAAGTAACAAGCCTTTGAGAAATTGCAGTTCACACATGCTCAATAGATTCCATCAGCTCTGAGCATGCTCCAGCCCTGAGGCTGGAGCGACCACAACTGAGAGCAGGGGGATTGTCTCCCCTGTGCTCTCAGTCCCCCTCCCACCCAATTCCGTGAACAGGAGGGACCTGCTCTGGGGGTGCAGTCAGGGCTGTGTGGTGAAGGCAGCTGCCTCGTCTGTTGCAGACTTTGGAAGGTGTGTAGTGGAGGAGACAGGGGACTGCAGGCAGAGAAGCTGGTCTCATGGTTAAGGCAGTTGAATGCTGCCTTGGAGAACTGGATTCTATCCCTGCCTTTGCCACAGAGTTGCTGTGTGCTGCTGGGCCAGTTACTTAAACCAGACTATACACAGGTGGCTGCTAACTGTGTGCGCCTCATTTTCTGGGCGGCCGACTTGAGACCCTGGGGGCTGGTTTGCAGCAGTGCTGAGCTGTGCTTTGAACATACAAAGTGCTGTGTGGTGCTAAGTGCTCTGAAGAATCAGGTCCTAGGTGTCTCAGATTGGCCACCCCAAAATGAATCCCTTTGTGCCTCAGTGCTCCATCTGTAAAATGGGGTGATAGCCGCTCGTTTCCCAGGGGTGCTGTGAAGATAAATTGTTTGGGAAGCACTCGGAGGCTATAGTGCTGAGCGCTGTAGAAAAGCCCCTGAGGAAATGAAGAATACTGCCAAGAGCAGGGTTCAGATCCTGGGGGTGAATAAGGCCTGGGGCTGCACAGTGGAGAATGAGGGTCGTCCAGCCTGTGCACGGAATGAGGCAGGAATCACGTCATTAAAGACTGCCTTGTAATGCATGTGCACAAAGGGGGCCGAATTAAGGCATTTTGTAATTTTTGAGTGCTTGATCTGGCAACCTTAATAATGTTCTTTTAATGCCGTTTTTTTTTCTGTGTAATGAATAATTAAATACTGGTCCCAGTACAGAACCCAGAACCACTGTTCAGGGCCAGAGCCCCATTGGCATGGGGCTGCACAGGTCATAAACTCGTAGAAGATTAGGACTGGAAGAGACCTCAGGAGGTATCTAGTCCAACCCCCTGCTCAAAGCAGGACCAACACCAACTAAATCATCCCAGCCAGGGCTTTGTCAAGCCTGACCTTAAAAACCTCCAAGGAAGGAGATTCCACCACCTCCCGAGGTAACCCATTCCAGTGCTTCACCACCCTCCTAGGGAAAAAGTTTTTCCTAATATCCAACCTAAACCTCCCCAACTGCAACTTGAGACTATTGCTCCTTGTTCTGTCATCTGCCACCACTGAGAACAGCCGAGCTCCATCCTCTTTGGAACCCCCCTTCAGGTAGTTGAAAGCAGCTATTAAATCCCCCCTCACTCTTCTCTTCTGCAGACTAAATAATCCCAGTTCCCTCAGCCTCTCCTCGTAAATCATGTGCCCCAGCCCCCTGGTCATTTTCGTTGCCCTCTGCTGGACTCTCTCCAATTTGTCCACGTCCCTTTTGTAGTGTGGAGCCCAAAACTGGACGCAATACTCCAGATGTGGCCTCGCCCATGCCGAATAGAGAGGAATAATCACTTCCCTCAGTCTGCTGGCAATGCTCCTACTTATACAGCCCAAAATGGCAACAAGGGCACACTGCCAACTCATATCCAGCTTCTCGTCCACTGTAACCCCCTTTCCCAGAGAGCTCACGCACCCTTTGCCCATGTACTCCTCCTCCTCCTCCTTGTTTTTGGCCTTGGTTTGTTTCTGATCCACGACAAGATTTTGCGTCTTGCCCCGTCTGCTTTGTTTTCATAGCACCCTCCCGTGAGGGGCTTTGTCAAGGGCTCTCTGGTTCTCTGTTGTTGTGGCCATGCCTGGACAGCTGTACTCAATCGGAGGAGCGGGGCAGCATTTGTCTTGCAGACGTGCTGGTTGGAACTTGTCCTGTCAGGATTACATGGCGGGGTCGCCTACGATAGCAGGCACTGGACTGGAGACCCCGGCGGTCCCATCTAGCCCAGTGTTCAGCTGGGTGCTTAGAGCTCTGGTCCCAGCCAATGCCTGTGGTGCTGCAAAGAGGCGCTTTGGTCTGTAACTCATCCGTTAGAGCCGCTGTTAAAGACAGGCCCAGCATCCGCTACCCCTGCACCACCCTGAATGAACCTTCTCCCTCCTTGGGGTTTGTAGAGCAGCCACGTGTGTTCTGTTCTCTGTAGGGCCCTATCCCACCCTCATCACCTGGGGGTCCGAGCACCTTCTGGTCTTGCGTCCGGTGACGTGGCTAACACCGTCCCGCAAGGTCCGTTCTCTCCCCCCAGCCCCAGGGCAGACCTGGGTTCACGGTGGGGTGTTTCCTTTTGGGAGGGTTTTTGTAAGCGGCCCCCTTGGTCTGTGTGAGAGAAGGCCGGCCGGAGGAGTGTGCCTGGCACGGGGAGCAGGGCTGGCGAGCTTTGGGGTGACCTTTTGTCCCTGGGGCAGCTGTTGCATAGTCTGGATGGCCCCTGGGAAAACTCTGCCTCCTGGTGGCAGAAAGGTCCCCTGGGGTCAGAGGACCGGAGCTGTCCACGATGGACTCCGTTCAGACTCCCCGGTGCGGAGGTAGCGGAGGACGGGGCTGCTGTGCTCATGGTAGCCAGTGTCGCTGAGGAGACACGCTGCAGCGTTCTGTGCTAGCTGGAGCGTCCCCAGGCCTGTGGGCCTCACATCCACGTCTCCGCCCCGTGGCCCCACAGCTGTCGCTGAGCCAAGCCTTGCTCGTGTCAGACTCTCCAGCAAGGAGCCTCCGGTGACTCGTTTCTCCCAGTTCCCTCCAGCTTGTCGCTTTCTTTCTGGGAATGGGGTGGCTGGAACTGGGCCCAGTGTCCCAGGTGGGAGCTTCCCCTCCCTGCTCCGCGACTTGGTGCCTGTGCATGCCGTGCCCACGGCTACGCAGGGCTGCTTGGTCTTGTGATGGGAGACGAAACCAAACTGGTACCTAATCACTGTCTCTCCAGGAGCTCTGCTGTCCTGCTCCCTTGGTCTGGCCCCCCTTGAGGAGCTGGGAGTTTGGCTAATTCCCCAGGCTTCTTCGTTTGCCTTGATCCTAGTTGAATCTGGGGAAACTGGCTGCCCCGCTTCCTGTCTCTCCCCTCCCTGTGTGCATCCCACAGGTGGAGTCACGGGCCCTTCCCTGGGGAGTCTGCAGGCCTAGGTAGGTAGCAGAGCTGAGCGTGTGCCCAGTGCCCCGAGCCCTGGGAGGGGGAAGGACCATGCTGGGCGCCGTAGGGAGGGGTTCGAGTGAAGGCTAAGCCAGGAGAAGGATACAGGTGGTGATGGCCCAGCGTGGGCAGCTGGGCAGGGCCTAGATGGTGACCATCTCTCTCCTGCTGGCAGAGCTGCTCGGGTCGAAGAGGAAGCAGAAGCTGGTGTTAATCCACCAGGCCCTAACGAGCGACCCTGTGGCCGTGGAGACCCTCCGGGGGGCAGCAGTGAGCGAGGGGGGGCTGCTCACCGATGAGATCCGCAGGAAGGTCTGGCCGAAGCTGCTTAGCGTCAATGTGTACAACCTGCCTCCCAAGCCAGGTAGGGGGGCTCAACTCCCTGGTGTGTGGGGGTGCGTCTGTGCCCCAGGGCCTCGCTGCTGCGCTGGCCAGCGCCTTAATGGGCTTCCAGGCACCGGGGGAGTGGGGAGGGAGTTCTGATTGGCTGTCCCATGAGCAGGAAGTGCTTGGGTCTCACTTGCATGGTTGGTCTATGCAGAGACATTATAGGCTAGTGGTTAGAGCAGGGGACCTAGGCGCCAGGACTCCTGGGTTCTCTCTCCACCTCTGCTGCTGTCGCATCAGCACGCCCTGTGTAATGGGGATCGTATAGATCTCCATGGGGCTAATTCATATTCATAGAGTGCTTACCTTACATTTCATCCTGCTTGGACGCCGGGAGAGCAGTGCATGCTGGGGCTTGTAGTCCCTGTGGGTGGCACCTCATGATAGACATGGGAGTTGTGGGCCGGTGTGCCCAGAAGGTGTGTAAATATGTGTGGCTGCCAAGGCCCCCTGGAGTAGCCCGCTTGGGTCACTGCGGTAGCTGCTTCGCATATTGCGAGCTGCTGCAAACATCTGGCCCTTTGGGCGCTCCCAGGTGTTTACAGCAACTGCAAAGCAAGGATGAGAGGTGTTGGCAAGGAGCTGCTGCCAGGGGCTCAGCGGGGCCTGGGCGCCTCGCCCTGTGTGCAGCACCCTCTGGTTCATTGTCGTAGTCGTGCTGGGCTTAGCGGCCCCTGAGCCTGACGGGGTGGGGCGCTGACTGATTCTCGCCACCCTGGGCGTGGAGCTGTGACCCCCATTCTGCAGACCCTGAGCCAGGAGACGGACTAATGCCTGGGGAACACGGGGACCGGGCCAGAGACTTGCCCAAGCCCAGATCAAACCTGGGGTTAATGTCTGCCCTGTTAGCTCTGGCTGTGTGCTCTGCCCACTACTGTAGCTGGCACCAGTCCTCATCTTCGTGGCGTGCCCTGGGGCCAGGGTGATGGGCAGCCAGCACAAAGCACTCCCTGCCACTGTGACACTGGAACTGCTGCCAGAGCTGTATGGGTACCAGCCCTCCACTGAGCAGGAGATCAGAGCTGGCTGGGGGACACTGAGCTGGGGCCGTGTGGCTGGGAGACGTGCCTAACCGAGCGATCCTGGCCTAAAGGGCAAAGGCTCAGACAGGCTCCCCAAGCTCTCACCTCCCCGATGCCAGGCTGACCCAAGGAGGGATACGGGGCAGTGGGGAGGAGGGGCTGCCTCTGCTATCGTCCTGCTCTGTGCGGAGCTTGGGTCTGAGTTGGGGTCCACGCTGCAGCCCCCCATGTCAGCCGGGCAGCTCCTCGAGGAGTGAGGATCGCTGCTAGCCCTGAGGGTGCCCCTGACCCCGCTGGCCTCTCCCCCCAGGCAGGGCTGTCCGCCAGAACCACAAGGACTACACCCAAGTGCAGCTGGACGTGAGCCGCTCCACACGCCGCTTCCCCCAAGGTGAGACGTGCCCTGGTGCCGGGCGCGCCCGTGGGCAGCGAGGTTCCCACAGGCCCTTCTTGGGCTGAAGTGGCAGCTGGGGAGAGCTTTGCTGTGTGCTGGGATCGGGTGGCAGGGGCCTGATGGCCTCACCTCCCTCCCACGGGAACTGTGGGGGAGGGTGGCTGGAGTTGCTGGGGGAAAGGAGGATTTGAGGGGAGAAGGGGTGTTTGTTCTCCCCTCCCCAGAGGCCCCCCTGCTGGGACGGAGACCCAAGGCCACCTCTTGCCCAGGGGTGTGAGAGATGGGGTCGGGTAGCTTTGTAAGGGGGTGGGGTGTACCCAGGGGCCGTGCCCTCATTCCTGCCTTGGGCTGTTGCTCTCAGCTCACAGTGGCCAGGGAAGGGTTAAGTGGTCCCCCTTGCTAGAGTCAGGTAGGGCCCAGGGTTCCCCACAGGCTCCTGAGGCTAGACTCGGCTCCGCTGATCGGCACGTGCCCCTCCTCACCGGACAGAGCCCGGCCTGCCTCTGGCTCCCTGGTAACTGTGTTTTCTTTCTGTCCTGCCTGTTCCTGGCTCTGCCGCGCAGAGCTGGTGCCGGAGGGGAGCTGCCTGCCTCAGAAGGTACCTGTGCCCCTCACTGGATCCCCTGCTCCCCCTCCGTAGTCCTGCCTTAGAACTTCCGCTAACCCAGCCCCCACCTGAGCGTCTGGCTGGAGCAGCCCCCTACCCACACCCCCTGCCTAGAGATTCATTCCCTCCCCTCCCCTCCCTGTCGCTCCCCTGCTGTCTCTGGGGGTGAATCTGCCCAGCCAGGTGCTGGGACATTTGGGGAGGGTTGGTGGGGCACCAGTCTCGCCCACCTTCATGGGGCCAGCAGGGGCTGCTCGGCTGAAGAAGGTTTGGTGAGGAAGCTCCATGCGCGTGTCAGGCTGGAAGAGCGAAGGGGCCCTGTTCTTTGCTAACAGTTCTCTTCTCAGACCTGACAAACTCACAACACCAAATGCAGCGATCACGCTCCCTCCCCACGTGCACCCTGCACTGGGGCTCGCTGGCCACCCCAGGCCTCTCCGCCTCTTCTCCATAAGCCAGGGCTTGGCTGTGGGACTGGCTGGCTCAGCAGGATGGGGAGGGATGATACAGGGCCCCCCAGCTCCTAATTACTGGTTCCAGTCTGCTGTGCTCCTGGCTCTCTGGGGGCTGCTGGCTGCTCTAGTTCATGGCCTTGGTGCTAATCCTCAAAGGAAGCAGGCCCAGCTGCAGCAGAGACCACATCTCTGCTTGGGACCCGCCAAGACAGCTGGGACAGGGCAGCTCACGAAGCCCGGGTACCGGGCCCGAGGCACAGCGCGCTCAGCCAGGAGGGCCTCGCTGGGACCAACTGCCAGAGGGGATTAGAGGGGTCTGCGGTCAGGCCAAGGGAACACTGCAGGGGCCTCCTGTCTGACAGTCTTCCCATCACACCCCTGCCCAAGCAGAGCCAGGGTGGGGGAGCCGGAGGCTCCAGTGGGGGCCGGCTTTGTGGGAGGCGCCGGAGCAGGGTGCTTGCACTGCGCAGTGCCCTGGGGCTCTGACCCTCTGTCTCTGCGCAGGCATGCGGGCCGAGCAGCGCCAGGTCCTGCAGGAGCAACTCATCGACCTCATCCTGCACATCCTGAGGGCGCACCCCGAGCTGCACTACTACCAGGGCTACCACGACATCGCCGTTACGCTCCTGCTGGTGGTGGGCGAGCGCATGGGCAGCGCACTGCTGGAGAAACTCTCCACCCACCATCTCAGGTACCAGGCCAACGGAGCCGCCTTGGAGGGGGGTGGGACGTCCCCTTGGCCGGCCTGTGCCTAGGCCTGGGAATCAGTGCTGGCACTGCAGGGCACTGTGCCAGCTGGGGTCCCCTGCGGCCCTGGAGGGCTTCGAGCCAGGGTCTCCTGCATTGCATTGCAGAGCACTAACCACTGGGGTATTAGTCTGGCACTTGAGAGACCTGGCCTGGAATCTACGGCACCGTGGCCTTCTCAGGCCCCTCACCACTGCTGGCCTTTAGTGTGACGAAGTCTTGTCTGTGCCTGCTGGGAGTCAGCTCCCTGAAACCACCAGCCTCTGGCAGCACAAGCACTACCTGCCAGGCCTCTGCAGGCCCCGGTCCCTCCGTGCAGGGAGCCATAGGCACCTGCCAAGCCCCGAGTCCTCGGAGCGTCCCTCCCCTGAGCCACTGGGCACTCGCAGCCCTCCTGCGCGCACAGAACTCACCAGCTGGTACAGCTCAGCTGGGGGCCAGCACTGTGCTTAGCACGCAGCACCTGGATCTGTTGAGAGTGAAAACGAGAGTAAGTTTGTCATCAAAGACAGAGATGCCGGGGGCAGCGAATAAGAATATTGGAAACAAACGGTTGCATGAAAAACAAAATCACAGCACAGTTCCTAGAGACTGCACTTAGCTACCAGGTTACCCTCCTGTCTACAGCAGCTTCTCTCGCCCAAGAGTCTCTCCAGCGTTTTCAGCCAGGCCTGGTTGAGACCCCGCTGTCATGAAGCAAATTGCTGTCCATTTACTTCCCAGGCGAAGGATGCCAGGGTGTCATCTTTGTCCCCCAAATGTCCTAGAGAGCAAAGCTTCGAGGTGCACCTTAAGATAAGAACGGCCAGACTGGGTCAGCCCAAAGGTCCATCCAGCCCAGTGTCCTGTCTTCTGGCAGTGGCCACTGCCGGGCGCCCCAGAGGGGATGAAAATAGGTGCCACTTGCTTCCTCCTGCCAATTACTTTTCTCTTTCTGAACTTTTCTCGGTCCTGCATTCGGCTCGGCTCGATGAGGTGAGACCCACTGTGAACCAGACACTGCTTAGTGTACGTGTAAACAGCCAGCTAGAAAAACATTTCTTGTCTGACCGAAAACCTGCTTTTCCCCTTTGCCAGTGGCGAGGCCCTAGACACAGCCCTTAAGAACAGCATCTGTGCATGCGTTGTGCAATGATATTGATGACCGGTGCGGCAGTGGCTTTTATTTGAGACCTCTGTGACCCGCGGCAAAGGGTCCCCTTTTCTTTCCAAACGAGTCTCTTCTCAGGCCTGACAAACTCGCTATACCAAACACACGTCTGGCAGGGTAACGTGCAAGGTATCTACGGCAAGCTTGTTACTTACCAAGCCTCATAACCCTTGTGAGGTGTGTGTACGAGTAATACTTAGGGACTAATGTAACTATATTGACAGTATGCTTTATGAGCTTGGAGAAGAAGTTAGTCACCAGGGGATAATGTGTCTTGGTGACGGCCCACTCAAGCAGGAGGGAGTTGTCACCGCTCCCTGGTTAGCTGGTGATGTACTGCAAGGCTCAGTTGTCAGCCTTGCGATGGAGCAAGGCTAATCGATGGAAACCCTCCGAGACAACTGCAAACAATCGAAACCACTTGGAGGTAAAAAAGGATCAGGATCGCCCTGTGTGAGTAGAGACAACAGACTGTCACTGTAACACAGAGTGGGGGGAGGGCATCTGGATTAATTCCCTGAGGAAATATCTTGTGGAGCAGGGGTGTTTTTTTTGAATGTTTGGCTGCTGGTTCCCGGGAAGCCAGCTAACTCTGCGACTGACTCAACTTTGGGGGGCGGGAGCAGCCTATTGTGTCAGGTAGGAAAGGTAACTGTTGATAAGTACAGACCCACATGCACGTTTTGTGGTTTGGTTCTGTACAGTCACTGTTTGTTTCCATCGCTCTCTCGTGTTCTTAGTTGGATCTCTGTTCTTTCCTAAATAAACCTTCGTTTGTTTCATTATAAGCAGTTTGGATTTGATTAAAATCACTAGTCTGAAAGAATTGATTTAATCATGGATTTCAACATAAAGTGCATTCTTGTTGGTTGTTATAACCTTAATACATATTCTTCACAACTCAGAGATAGATGTAGGTTTCGTTTTTAGAAGTGATTTATTTTGAAAACTTTTCAGATTAGTTTTACGGCTATATCAGAAAATGAATGATTGTTTGGTTATTTCATTTACCAAAGGTAATTGAAGCAGGTATTTATGAAGTCATGGGGAGGTGAACTCTCTCCAGTTCAACAGGTTAGTCATTAATACTTGGAGGATTTTCTTGCCATGCTGGATTAAGAGGAGAACATCACCAGACGGACATTGAAATTGTTTTATTTAACTAAAACAACAATGTTATGCATTCTGGATTTTTTTCTTCAACAGCAGATATAGTATTTTAACAAAACAAGCATATGAATGTTTGAATTTAGTTAAACATTCAAGTTTTTTTTAAATCAGGTTTGTTTTTGTTAAAATAGTTTTGAACTAAAATAGTTAAATGAAATATTTTTTTTAAAAAACAAAAATTAAATTTACTATGTCAGCCAGATCAACATGAGAAACTTAAAATATTGGCTTCTGCAGCTAACGCAGTCGTCTTCACCTTCATTTTCCTGTTTGTTCATAATCTGGAAAAGAAAAACAAGCTTTCCTGCTTTTTCAGATCCCAAATGATTTCTCAATTTGGAATGAATTAGTCCAAAGGAAGAAAATATTCTTTCTACGCCGGGAGAAGAAGCTACTGCTGTTAAAAGTGAGATTATCACTTCAACAGTCTCTGAATACAAGTGCTTAAGTGACTTCCACCAGTTCACTGGTGTGACTTTCTTTAAAACATCATCAGCAAACATATATTTCTTGAATGGTTCACTCTTAGCACTGAAGTTTATTATAGGTGGCATTCTGGAGGGAGGATTGCTGGGTGTCCATGTAGAGTGACCAGATGTCTCGATTTTGGGGTATTTTTTTTCTAATATAGGCTCCTATTACCCCCCACCCCCTGTCCCGATTTTTCAAACTTGCTTCTTGTCACTCTATGTCCATGTCATAGCCAACTCCTCTTCTTCACCAGTTAAGGTTTGACCCCGGCACCAAGTATTGAGAATATTTGCAAGAAAATGAGCTGGAGATGGTGCTTGTCCCATTTGTTTTTTTTTAATGCTTGTAATGTAACTCTGTCATTGCATATTTCTCTTGTTAAGATCTCACTTGGTTCCTTCCAGATTATAACAGCATCAGCAATAAAACAGCTATTTCCCTGCATTTTGTTCAAGGCTACAGAAATAGGCTTCAGGGTACTCAGTATGTGTTCAACATTTCTCTTAAGCCCAATGTTGAGAACTTTGGCTGTGACAGCGCCATCTATTTTTTCACGATTTTGTTCACAAACTGTCATCAGATTAGGCCAGTTCTTGATATAGTGCTCAAAACAGTCCACTACTGAGTTCCATCGCACGTCTTGTGGGAGAGTTAGCTTGGTTCCTCCCACTTTTTTCAGAGCAGCTGCTGCAGCGTGGTTGTTTCGGAAGTATTTTGCAATTTCAACAACATTAGCCTTTATTTCTGGAACACTGAAGTCTTTGGCTAGGAGGTGCATCAAATGAGCACTGCAACCGAATGTTATTAGCTTGGGACTCACTTCACTCTCTCCTAATAATTTCCTCTCATCTTGGATACATTTGCAGCATTGTCTGTGACCAAGCTGCGTACTAGACATTTGAATTTTTTGTCATGGTTTGTTATAGCTTTTACTGCTACTTCTCGTAAGTATTCTGCTGTGTGCGCATTTCCTGATGTATCAGTTGTTTCTGTAAGGAAGACATTCCCTTCTTCTGTTGTCACACAAGCACATACAACAGGATCATTGTGGACATTGCTCCACCCATCAAGACTCAGGTTAACAATTTCACCCTCTAGACCTTTTGCACACTGCTTAATTTCTCTTTCATACACTTTATCCAGCAATTTGCCTGCGACATCTGCTCTGTTGGGTGGACTGTACCCTGGCCTTAATGACTGAACCATGTTAATGAAGTGTGGGTTCTCAGTCATACGGAAAGGAGAGTTTGTTGTATAAACAAACCGGGCAATTTTTTCATCAATTACCTCTTTGTAATCTGCTGGTTCTTATCACGAACGTATCCATGGTTGTTTCTGGATGATGGAGATTTTTTTTTCTTTTTGCTACAGGTGATATACTGTGACTATGTGACATACATGATGTGACTGAAACACTGTCATTGGCAGATAACTCTGAAACTATAGAAAATGATGGTGATGTTGAAGGTGGATAGTCTTCAGAATCCTGTATGTTGAGGATGGATTCTCCGAAACAAAATAAGTCAATGCAGTTATTTCATTATTACCACCATACTGCTCCTTTAGTGTTACTCGCTGCATTCACCAACACTCAGTACTACTTTAAAGGTGAAATTGTAAAAGGAAGATCTGCCTATTTCAGCTATTTATTTTTTATCGCAACTGCATCTAAAATGATAGTACCATAGAGTAACAACTATATTTTTTGCTCAAACATGAGAACTGAAGAAGAGTCCAGAAGGAAGACAGGCAGTCCTTAAGAAAGAAGTATGAAATAAAAAAGTTTACCAACCTGAAGATCCTGCATGTTCAGACATGTTCCTTTCATTATCTTCAACGCAGCTTCCTCCTGAGAAGGAACATTTCTCATGATGTTGTTTCATTCGGGCAACTAGGCCTTGCATTTCTTTGTTGCATTGCTTGCATTTTGCACGCATGCCTGTCTTACCCACAGGTAGAGGAACTTCATGAAAATATTCCCCAAATGGGTCTCTTTTACGGCCTGCTGCCAGCCTAGGTTTTCCCTTCTAGTGAGAGAGTGGTATGGTAGATCTCAAATCAATGAAGGCTACACTCAGAAAGACCCCAAGACTTCAGGAATATGCTGCTCAAACAGTTTCACTTTTGTTTCTACTGCCTGTCCCTCCCTTCTCATATTTATCTCCAGACTTCTTCTCCTTGTCCAGATCTATTCTGCCCCCAACAATCTTCTATTCA